ACCTCTCACACTTTGAATCATAGAAATTTGGATTATACCTGTCAGGCGCAGGTTCACTAGGCGCAGGACTCGAGGCGTAGGAGAGGGCGTAGCGTAGGATGTACTGAGGAAGGACGCCTCGTGGTAACGCGGAGGGCTTTCTAGAGAAGTGGTAAAAGGGAAAGCGGGGAGTCGTTCTAGATAGAGGGGCCGGAGGTGACAGTAGGTCACTAGGTTTGGCAGAGGACGAGAGTGAGATGTGATTAGAATAATGTAACTATTCCTAAAGACAGAAAACAAAGCGTGAAGATATCAGTCTCGGAAATGGAAACTACATAGGTGCCCTCGCTAAGCAATAAAGACTAGTGGGATTAAACAAGGGACCCATAAATCCTGCCTGAGGCATTTCTCAAGAATCCTTACAATACCCCAAGTGTCACAGTTCAAATATAGAAAGCGAATGGGCATTTGTATGATTGAAAGGTAAAGCTATAATTCATCTATGTAGAAGCAAACTACCTGCAAGTCTACTCTACTACTTATACACATCCAGATGTATCTAAATCTAGCCTACACTTACAGTGGCAATGAAACTGACTAGAGGTTTGTTCTGCCACACGAGTAACGCTTCCGATACTCTTGGCACTATCCTTTACGTAGCCTCAGTGGCGATCTCGTATCAGTTTTCGTCTGCTGATAATCCTCGGAGTGATAGAGAATATAGGTTGCCTTCGATAGCCATCGAAGGCTATAGGACTTATCGGCTCACAAGCCGTCACACCAAGTAGAAACAGTAGCCTGGAATATATCCGAGAATCTCTGCGTATTACTAACCCTGGTCTAATCCAAACAGCTACTCTTAAAATCACCTTGTTTGTTGCTTCAGATAGTCCATTTTGTTCTGGTGTGTCAGGTGCAGAGGTTTCGGTCCGTATGCCATGTTCTTCACAGTAAGCTCTGGTCCGCGTAAACTCCGTGCCGCCAGCTCTAAATTTAATACGGATACGCTTGCCATACTGATGATGCATGATATTTATCCATTGGAGAAGCGTTGTTGCAATTTGATCTTTTGTATGGATTGCTAGCGCCCATCTCATACGGGTTTTTGAATCAGTCATGATAACAGCATGCTGGTGACCGAGAAGTGACGGAGCTATTAGGCCCACTGTGTTTCAGAAAATATCATCAAGTGAATTGACAGGTACAAGTCTTGGTTGGCGGGTGTCATAGCAGCATGTAGACAGCAGGGCGGAGACATGGGTCAATGATGTGGTATTCAGGCTAAAGGGCGCCATCCTACATTATGCATGAGATAGGTGCACAACTGCTCGGCCAAAAGGCCAGACCAGAGTCATAGAACACTAGGTCCTAGTTATGTCCACATATATAGATTATACAGAAGGCAATCCTGACAGCGGGAGACAAAGAGTTGTGCTTGCTCAGATGGCATGTCTCACACACACTAAGATCTGAAGTATCTAGATTTTCTAGACCTATAGAACACTGTGAGGTTTTCTTGAGAATCTTTTGTCCGACATGTCCCAGCCTTTGGTGCCATCGCTGAGTATTATTTGTCTTGGTGTCACAGTTTGATCATTGTATGAGCTTAGGTGGATACCTAAGCGTAATACTTAGATTGTTTACAATAAGGTCGCACGGGGAGGGGAAGATGGAACTAGACGAAACAATAATACTAATCAGGACGCTAGATTGCTGTTACAACTTAGTAACACCCAACGATACGTGGCTAGTTAGCGAGTATGATGTCTCGAGAAAATCCATCAGTTAGTAGATACACGCAGCGGAACAGTCATTATAAGTACCTGTTAGTTGTAGCTAGAGTTCTCTTCTCTCCTCATATAGTTTAATAAATCGACTTATTCATCACCAACTAGATTTCCGTCACACTTGGGCACCCTCGCAACTCCAGGTGCTGCTATTTTCTGGGTTACACTTTCTGTTGTGCTGTCTCGGTTGAGTTGTTAGGAGACAGAGGAACGGAGGATGGGCTGCTGGATTTCATTCGCAAATACCACTATGAGGTATGCTTGCTTACACAAACAGCTAACCCTCCTCCGTAAGTACCCACCAAAGGGAATTTCAAAACCTTTGGTTATCCAAGCATGCCTTCGTCATCCATGCATACCAGCGCCGCGAGAAAAGTGGTTGTGATTTGCCGGATTTGAACCAGTGATCAACTGTCTCGAGTGGGATATGTGTCCAAGCTATCCAGACTGTACTTGGCAGACCAGCCAAGACGATGTACCACCGCACCATCCAACCATGGCGGTGTTTATTGTGTCGCCTGCACTCTCGCAGCCGAAGTCTTTGCACGCACAAAGCTCAATTCGTATAACTTCTTGCCAAATTTCAAAATTTCACGCCCGCCGAGACTGTATCCATCCTCTGCATCATCTTGTGAACTTGTCCTGAACCCTCTCATGCCCATCCCAAAGAGCTATCTCCCAGATTTTTGCTCCACGCTTTGCTGTCTCTGTCGGGTGTAAATATCGGCGTGGGCGTATATTTGGTGGTCAACTGAGGGCAGAGAAGGTCGACAAGAGGTGTGGTCATTAGAATGAGGATGTACTAGGTCGTACTTGTAAACATGATGAGGCTTGGATAGGATTAGGACTCGTTGGGAGTGAAAATTTGACGTGGTGGAGTAGTTTGAATCATTGCCTCGTGGGCCAACTTGTTCGGTATTGCGAAATTTGACTGAACTTGGCTCTGGGAGAATATTTCACTCCCAGGTTCGTAGAGAGCACCACTGACAGGTGTTCAGTCTTGTCCTCCGGCTGCTGTATTAAGAAAGGGTGGAAAATACAGGCTGGTGCACAGACGCTGATCGTGTACTCTACAATCTCTTCACCTGCCGAGTTTAGTGAATAAATATATACAAATAATATCATACTTCACATCATCCATTAGATGATACTATCTATCGTCGGGATGTGAATCTAGCATCACCTTCATTAATCACCATTGTCAGTAAGAATACATATTTGACACCTACTGACACCCATTTGGCCACAGTGATACGCACTCAGTGTCCATCGTGCCATCAATCCAGCGTAAGCGCGCCATCTCCGCGACTCACTATTGCACATGAGCCCGTGCCGCTCCACTGAAGGACAGCAGAGCTATAATTGCCATACAACCTACAGCTCATAACCACAACACTTTTTCCCGCTCACGCAGTTTTCATTGCTACCATTTTTTTATTTTTTAGGTAGAAGGTTCCGTGGAAAAGGTGGCCGAATTCCACGGGTAAACACTGAGCTGAATAGCTATTCATCATGGGCAATATATTAATGATCTTTCAAGAAACATAAGAGGCGAGGTGCACTGTACAAGGTGTGGCCTGGGTCAGAGAGGAGCCCAACGTGCTAGATAGTTATAGACTCAAGTAGTACAATAAAAACACACACACTAACTACTTTTAAAGGCAAAAGAACACATCAAAGTTACCTTCGCTATCCGCCAGATTCGAAGCAACGGCACTGAAATCTTTGCGCAGTTTTTGTCTTAAAGAGTCGTAGTAGTCGACATGACGCAACCCGCAGAATCCAAAAATCTCAGATAATACTTTCCTATCGAAGTCTTTGCAATCTCATTGGTGTCAAAATCTATGGATGAATAGATGCCAACAATACTGGCATCGTCACAGAGATTGTTACGGCTACTAGGGTCAAGATTCTCGAGTCAATGATAAATCAAATCAAATGGCTACATGAAGGAAAGGATGTTCCACAGTAGAAGAAAATTAGCCGCACTAGAGGATTAATTATTGTTAACCCTCCATGGCTAGCAGTGCAAATGCAAGTAGTCCAACACGTCATTATGATTTATGATATACCCTTCACCACTCAGGTGTTGTGACTACGGGCCTAGCCAAAGGATTACTTCAACTATAGGTAGATAGGATATGTGCAGGTACCTTGTAAAAATTAAGCCTGCTACTGTGAGCGCGCTAGCGCTGGTCAAACTTGGGACAGTCCGAGAAAAGTGATTTCTTGTGCGTACTGCGGTAAGAAACAGAATTCAATTTGGAAACAGAGTTTAGAGCCTACCAGGGTTAGAAAGGAAGTGTTGAGAAGGCACAGATGGAGTTTACAATCCTGATGGAAGTTTTATAGATTGAAGTGCCAAATGTTGCAATATAACGAACAACTAAACTAGCCGATGACCACGGTATCACCTTGGTCACCAGTAAAAAGGCTGATGGACCAAGACGGGGACCGAACTTCAACGGAAAGAATTTCTAGCAGAAGCAGCAACATCGAGCACACCGGCAGAAGCAAAACCATCGGGGCTACCCATGCAGATAATTTGACGACCTACGCCGAACGAGTAATTGCCTCTTCTTTTTAAATTCGCCTAGTCTAATCGGTCCAGTAATGAGCAGAAATAGTGGAAATAATAACGGATCAATAGCTGAAAGGAGTGTCTTCGGTATTAAGCTAAGTCGTATTATCATGGGTGGACGATGGATTTTATTGCTTGAAAAAAAATTCCTTTCATAATAAGACTATCCGCACAGATGAAACTATCAATAAGAACCAAATAATATAGAAGATATATAAGCATCTTCTTATATGATACCAGGGTCATATTGCGTCTTTGATCCCGTCCGTTAGTTTGGGATAAATATTAGTAGCTTGACTTTCTGCAGGTCAATTATATTTTAATACAGATTTCTATATGTATTAGTGAAATAAGTATATATACTTCATCAGCTTATAAAATAATTATCTGAACAATCAAGAGCCCGAGTTTATAAAATTCTTCACAGTTCAACTTGGGTTCCTGCACAGGCCCGGTGTTGAGCAATTTTGAGACAAGCAAAGTACTGAGTTACCGTAGATGTATTGTTATTCTTCATAGTTCGCGAGGGAATTTCTGGAAAAAACCGGTGGGTTGTCTCAGATCAGGTCAATTTTTTCGCAAACAATTAACCAGGTAAATTGAAGCTGTTACATTTCATCTTTTTGGAGTATTTGTATCGTCGTAAGAACATCTCATTTTTTCTTAATTTTCCACATCCACTGGCCAACTCTCTTCATGCTGTCGTGGCTTGCCCTGAACAACTCTCTCTCGGCTTCATCTAAACCTCTCAAAAATTCTACACCTCCTGATCCAACTCCTCCAACACCATGTCGCCTGTTGGTACCTGTATTACTCGCATGATCGTTGATAATTGCCGCGCGGGCTCGCCATGTTTGCATCAAAATATCACAGACCTCCTCTTCCTCGAAAAGCTCCAATACTCTAGCTCCAAGTCCATAAAAGTTAGGCGCAAGGGTTCTAATGTCAACAGATATCGGATCGGCTTTGAGAGCGTTCATCACACGCGGAGCTAGACATTGCGGAAGGTCGAGTGTAACGAGAGTTTTGGTAGTTGAGATAGTCGAGACGGCCAGCATTTCTGCAAGCCAAAGGGGCAATTCTACACGAGTACTAGACTTGAGCGTATGACCAACATTGTTATCGAGGTAGCCAAGGCCGGGCACATCAAATTCGAAAGTGCAGGGGACTTTCTATCTGAATGATCAGTATGTAAGTTTTTCGGACAGTAAAGAAAGACTATTGCATACCTGAGCATCGGTAAGAATAGAGTCGAGATCATAGTAAGACATCTGTCGTCAAAAGACGAAGATCGCAAAGTTAGGATTACTCTCATATGAATCCCAAAAAGATTTGTAACCATTTCTGACGCATAAATGCTGTGGTAGCCCGCTAAATTTATCAATACACACGACGCTTTCCAATCAACTCAAGACCCGTCCAACACCTGTAACCAAATTATGACCGTCACTCGTATTTGCTTCCGCATCACGGGAGTATCATGTATCGGGATTAAGAGTATCCCAAAAGCTCCCCAGTTTACCAGCACTACTTTTATGAGAAGCAAAGTAACTCTTCCAGAACTTCCCTGTAAGTGTGTTATTCTCAATTTGAGTTCTTGGACTTTAGTTCTTACAATTAACCATCTCAAGATGACTATGGGGCGCTAGAGCCTTCCATCTCAGGCAAGATCATGGAGATTCATCATCAAAATCACCACCAAACATATGTGAACGGTCTCAACACCGTCACAGAACAGCTACAAGAAGCTGTATCAAAACAAGATGTAGCAAGCCAAATTTCCTTACAACCACTGATCAAATTTCATGGGGGTGGACATGTCAACCACTCACTATTTTGGCAAAACCTGGCGCCGAGCAAGAACGGTGGAGGAGGTCAACCAGAGGGAGACCTAATGGTACAAACGCTTCAACTCACCTAATGGAACAGCCTTACTAAAAATCGATAGAAAGCTATCAAAGAAACCTATTCTTCCTTCGGAAATTTCAAGTCTCAATTTAGCACGGCTCTAGCTGGGATACAAGGCAGCGGTTGGGGCTGGCTTGTCAAAGATAATGAGACTGGAAACATACAGATTCGCACATACGCTAATCAGGACCCGGTAGTGGGAAGGTATACTCCTCTTCTCGGCATTGACGCCTGGGAACATGCGTACTATCTACAGTATCAGAATCGCAAGGTGGAATATTTCAATAGGATTTGGAATGTCATTAACTGGAAGACGGTAGAAGAAAGATTTAAGTAATCAGGATTGATTCAGTCAGCTTCAAATAAATCAATGAGGTTATGAATTGTCAATTGTACTATTTCTCATGATTAAATTTCAAGAAGATGTTATCTAAGCTAACCTGGTTTGTTTTGAGTTTACTGGTATTTTCTTTGTAGTTGTTACAAAATATTTGGGATTTAATTCTCAACGAATACTGATTTCGATGTAATTTATTCGACTTTTGTTTCACTGTTCTGCACAAAATAACGTCATAGTGTCTGACCGCATTGACGTCAGAAAGTTCCGCACGAAGCTCACCTCATCAAAATATTTGACCATGGTGAGGGACTTTTTAATACCATCTGTGCATTCAGCTTTCGAGCAGTGACAAATTATGGCGAGGATAGCGACTACTGAGTAAATTAACTAGCATAAACACTCCTCTAACTGCCTCATTCCAACTTAATTAGATAGGAATATCCTGAGTTGCAGAGTTTTTAACAGCTACGATGGAAAGCCACGTACGAATATTTCATGTTTGCAAGCCCTAATTTTGCTAGAGTAAAGCCCCTTGTGAGCAAAATTGAAGTCTTACTGCTCTAAATCAACAGCACATTATATCATCAAAGGAAAGACCAACTACCGTTAGCTAATTACTGTAAGCAAAGAATCAGTCGCGCCGCCACATTAAATTTGATCCCCACGTTTTTTTCAGCTACCAATCTTTTCGCTCTTAACTTCCTTGGCTTGGTCCACCTTTGTGGCCAGAAATCCGTTAAGCCAGTTCAAAGCTTCACTGCTTACTACCAATCCTGTAGCTATGGCTGCCTTGCCATACTTGATCAACCCTTCCCCACCGACTTTGTTCTTCTCGTTGCCATAAACGTTCAAAACATAATCTTTACCCTCAAATCCTTTCTGAAGAGGGAAGAAAACAACAGCTTTGCCCTCAGCGTACAATTCTTCTGTAGGCTTTTTAACAACAGGGAACCTGCTATCAAAAGAAGAGAGTGTGTTATTTCCGAGCGAGTCAGCTCTGGCAGCGTAGGGAGTGATGTAGGAGATCGGCGTGCGAAGATATGGGAGAAGAGGTTTAGATATTTTTTCATACGAAGTTGTGGTGATTGATATAGACTTGGCACCATATGGGTTGGAGGTGATGGTTGTGATACCGTCCGAGATAACTGGATAAGACTTTAGATGCTGCCGAGGAAATTAGCACAATTCGGCCGGAATTGGTAGGGTATCAGTAACCGATAAAAAGGCCGAAGCTGGTTTATCTTTTTCGCCATTGACGTGGTGAACCATTTTCCGGTTTGCTTCTGAGTGAGGCATAAGCTAAAAGTAGCTGAAGTCAGATGCCGGTATAGACGAGTCCGTGATTCAAGTGATTAGACACTTGCCCAGGGTTCCTGAAAGAAGCCTGTGTGGAAAAGTTCGATTCAAACTCACTTAGCAGAAGGATGAGCCTCTTTGACAATTTTAAATCGAGTCCTGAACTTGATCGAGTCTGTGAGTGCAAGTGGAGAATTAGAAAGTTCAAAGTGGAATACAGGTTGTGGAGAAAAGATAAGTTGAAAATCGAAGTTTAGAGGGATATTTGAGGAAGACGGATAGCATTGCGATGGATCGTATAATAATAATGACGATGATCTAGTAAATGATACGCGAATGACGAATTTGAGGGAAAATAGTCAATGCGGATATATTGATATGTACGCTTCCTTGGTCAGAGAAGATGATGGCCTGATATCACTGTCATGTGTTGTGTGGCATGGATCCTTGATGATGTGGGTGGGATTCCCCAACGTTTTTACTCCCCAATCCTTGATTCCATCATTTGCTTAGCTGTACCGGGTATATTATCGACAAGTGGTGGAGAGGCAGAAGTGGAGTGATTTGTTTTGCAGGATTGAGTACAAGATTTGTCATCAACCGTATGCAAATGCTAGTGTAATGGGCGCCTGTAGGTTGAAAGAATTTCTGGATGGGCATGCTCTCGCTCGCATGTGATCACGTTATCTGGATGAGCTAAACATAAGTGCTCCTTAATTGAAAGGTTTCTATGTGACCTATTTCGTCTTGAGTGCAACATGGCCACCGGACATTGACCAGCAAACCAATGAGGCTCCTATTGGCACATGAGAAGCATGATTAAGCTTCGTGACTATCACATGCTAGGCTGGCCGTTGGAGTTTCGAGTCAACGGGCCAGGGGCATCGCATATCCTTTACTGCTATAATAGCGTTTCTCATGAGCTCGGACCTTGTGAGATCTGCTGATTGGCCGCGGGCCAAAACGAGCTCAAATAAGAGGAGACGACAGTTAGCACAGAAAAAATATTAACTTCGACTTCACGGTGCAGAAGATTTACTGAATGAGGTTGCAGGATAACGTACTTGGTCGGAATTCAAGTGCACAGCCACAAAGTCCTAGAGTTCCACCGATCAATTATTATTGTCCTTTCTCAGTCTATGATAAAGGACGTATAGGTACTCTCTTCCTGCAGGCCAAGGGGGGACTATTCTCAACACCTGTCAGTGGTGTCCCTTACGAACCTCCAGCTCTAACTGTAGAGTCTGCAGAGCCGAGATTGAGTAACAAAATCCTCACTTCGACGAGAATTCCCAATCGCTTTCGCGGTCTGTATCATCTTCATCTCTCAACCCATTCCCCTGCCACCATTTCCATGAAGCTAACCACGATCAGATCAGATGGTAGGGTCGGAGCCCTACTTATCACCCACCCTTGATCATGGAGGAGAAGCCATCTGATGAGTTTCCAGAGCGTACCCAGCACCCGATACGGAGACGGCGGATTGGATCAAGTCGGCTCAACTGTTACAAAGAAGGGAGATATAGATGAATATGCGCACATCATGTGGTCCCGGTTTCTAGGCCTCGCCTGGCTGGGGCTGCAGGTTTTTTGAGACTTTTTCCCGTGCACGCAGTTTTCATTGCTACCATTTTTTGTTTTTTGGGGTAGAAGGTTCCGTGGAAAAGGTGGCCAAATTCCACGGGTAAACACTGAGCTGAATAGCTATTCATCACGGGCAATATATTAATGATCTTTCAAGAAACATAAGAGGCGAGGTGCACTGTACAAGGTGTGGCCTGGGTCAGAGAGGAGCCCAATGTGCTAGATAGTCCATGACCCAAGTAGTACAGTATAAAACACACACATGTACCGCGGGCTCTGATGCAAAAAAAGAATACTGCGGCCTACACCTTAATTACTCTTCCATAACCCTTGCTGGTTCACAACATACTCATCTCACCAATCATAGTGCGGCTATTTCTATGTGTGTAGCAGTTTGAAATAACTTCCTTATGAAGCACCGTAGCAAAAGGTTTATGCAAATATGCAAAAGCCATTCTTTGCTATTCACAGATCACAACATCTTTGGCCGATTCTGATACTGCTATTATGGCAATTTTTTCAAATTGAATGTTGTTGTCGCTATCCACCATGTCCAACTGTCGGCAGAACATTGGAGAATAGTTGATCCCTTGGCTCACGTAAGCTAGACGCGCACGCTTACTATTAGTGAGATATTGGCTTAGCCGCCTAGAATAGAAAACAATGAATATGTACACATCCGGTTGTCTTTGCATCTACTCGTCACGTACGTGATACATAACCCATCCAACACTGCTCAATGGTTTCTTCGCTAGATCAGTCTTGCCTAGCAATCACTGACTAGCAAGTTCAGAAGAGATACTCCTACAATCAACCCAGTTCGTCTAGCTCTATCGGAGAAGTGTGCTATTTAAGGTTTTCACGATTGACTCCATTCTGTCCCTGCCCAGCGATTGAGAGTCCCTAGCGTTAAGACTTCCACTTCCGTTACAATTTGCGTCCTACACGCACAGTCAACTAAGATCTCTTCATTGAGCCTTTCGAAAACTATAACTAACCAACTGCCAACGATCTTGTCCTCCCTACCACGACCTCACTCTTACCACCTATCGATCGTTAGAGTATAAGCAAGATGACTGATGATAAATCCACCTTTATTTCCAAGGAAGCCTCCCACGAGATCCCTTTAACAGTTCAAGTACGGAAGACAGGAAGTGGATTGCCTGTTCAATTATGTCATCTTATTGATCTGGAATTTTGATACAAATCAGCTGACAGAAAATCTACAGTGTAGCATCTCCTCACAATAATTGCTCGTGCCACTGTGGTTTACAAGGACTACGATGACGGCGACACTGTTCAGGGTTTTCAAGAGGACTTTGAAGGCTGGACCATGGAAATTTTCGACAGACTACCCTCGGAAGCACGCGAATACTTCCGTGACTTTGTACGTGCCAAAGGCGTATGTACCAGAATCAAGCGTGGCAAGTTGTTCCAGCAGCTTGTTAAGTTGCCTGAGCTTGACCCCGACAACTTGCCTGAGTGAAATGATGATCTTCTCAGAGAGACTGAGATCATCAACCCCAAGCCGAAAGCATACAGGAAGCAGCAAGAACTGCTGACCAAAAGTTTCCAATCTAAGCAGGAAACATCGCAAATACAGACGTTATAATACAAAACAGCACCTCAGATTCAGTCGCTGCTACCATTTGAATCTACTCCCACCCCTAGTCAACCACAAAAACCTATGTCCCGTACTTTTTCCTAGTCTTCCAACAACCAACAATCAACTTTACCACTCTCAGGACTTGCTTCATCTCGAGACCGTGCAGGATCAGAGCCCCCTTCGATTATGACCAGGATCCCTACAGCACTCTTCCCCCTATTGACTTTCCCAACCAACGACTCGACCCTGCCAAATCGACTCAGTTTGTCTGGATGTACGACAAAACGAGCAAGTATACCGGTGAACCATATGATCTACTTGATGATAAGATGAAGGTTTTTCTTAATGTCTGATTTCACATTGACATCTATCCAAGTCAATTCTATGCAGTGGTTTATTGGAAAATATACGCTGTACGATATGATATGGATATATATGATGAAGTAAAGAAGACTTGATATTTTACAACTATGGGAACATTGGACTTATATATACATCTAAGGGAGAAATTCCCGCTAGTCTCATGTGCCTGTCAAACCTAGTGATGACCAGCCACCTCTCACCTACCATGATGAGCCAAAGTACACTGTAGTACGTAAATATCCATCCGTATATGCAACACTAGGCCCGATTAGCGCACTCGGGACATGTGTAGAGAGAGTTGATCTTGTCGGGAACCTGAGACGAAACAGATAATGGTTGAGTCCTAAATTCGAGAGTCAAAATTTCCAACATGTTCCCTCGTATCCTTACAGGTAGAGCTAAACATTCCTACCTACACTTTATCAACCGAGATGAAACATTTGCTGTTGCTTACGCAAAGGTCAAACGCCACCTTGACACCGAGGTCAATCACAGTCATTACTATACAGATTGGACCACCACTAAACTCAACCGCACTCGCGTGGAAAACCCTGACAAGAAGCTCCACGAAGTCCTACAAATGACGCTCGACAAGCTTGAACTCTGCCAGAGAGCCCTTAGTGCCGACTACACTGGACCGATTGCCCTTCGCACTGCAGATATAAATAACTGCCATGGTACCCCTGAACTGGAAATGGCCCATTTCAAGCCTGCCATAGAGTGTGAAGCCTTATTCTCAGACATACGCTCATCCGTAGAAACCTACTCCAACCGAGAGGCCTCGCACAAGCTCCTCACCGCTGCCGATATTGGAAACGGCCAGATTTATACTGATCGTCGCTAAAATTTTAATGATAAAAATACCTCCCGAGGACAAGGACCCCGTGATCAATTGGGCAACAACTGAGGACTGCTTCATAACAATAATAGTCGCCAGTGGAGAAAGAAATGTTTTGTCTGCAACCATGAAGGCTGCTTGTCTACTAAGCATACATGAAAGGAGCGACGTCGATTCCGACCGTAATATGTCACCCACTGTGAGTTCACAGGAGAAGACCCAAGAAGCTTTGCCACATACCTTGACCAGTACTAAGGCCACGATCTCAACCAAGAAGACCACCGCAACGACAATTCTGATGAAGGAGAATCAATTAGGGCCTCCACCACACAATACCTTATGGATAGGGCATTCCTGCACCGTATCACTGGTGAAGATGTTTGTAACACAAACTCTGATACGTTGGCCGACTAGTTCATCCTTATAGATTGCTAATCTAAGATAAAGTCCCAGGATATTCTCTGCGACACCGGAGCCGCCCAGGTATCCAAGGACAGTCACGAGTAATTTCGTGCTCTGAAGATTAAAGACCCATATGCACATCTGGATACTACCATTGCTGGTAGAGCTATTGTGAGATTTGGTAGAGTCGTAAGCGTTGCATCTATT